AGGCCTCACACTGGATGCCTCCCCCATGGGGCCATCTGGGCCTTTATCTCCTTCAGCTGTGGCTGTTGGCCAGCGTGAACCCAAGTACGTGAACCACAGCCCACCATGTTGGAGCCCCCAGGTCCAGGCCCATAGTGGAGCCCAGTGAGGGGAGGGTGCACGCCCATTCAGGACCCCAGGCCTCTCCCCAAAGCCCATAGCAGGTTGCTGCCCTCCCTCCATTTGGACACTGGTGTCAGGGACTGGGCCCTTGGCCCTAAGCCCGTCTGGGGTCCCTAGTTCACTAGAGGCCAGTGGAGAAGCACCTGTTGGCAGGGCCTCCTCCGGGAACATGCTGCCCTGGCCCTAAAGGCCACAATTCCACAAATCTCTCACGGGATGTGTCTGAGTCCAACGCCCAGCCCGGTAAGAACAAATTCTGGATGAGGTCTAGCCCCTGCCCCTCCTCCTAAAAGTCTCTGCCCAAACTCCAGTCCCAGAAGAGCATTCATAGAGTCCAGTTCTAGAAGGTTCCTCAGCACCTGATGGCTCACTTCCTCAAGTGTCATCTGCAGAGCCGGGGCCTAGCAGGTGAGAGGCAGAGTGGGCACCACCAGGCCTCCCCAGGGCTATCTGACAAGCCTAGCCCCTTTGGGCTGAGGGCTGACCCCTGGGGCCCAAGGATACCAGGTCAGGGGGTGAAGGACCTTTGACCCCAGCCTCCCAGACTCTTAACCTGACACCTCCCAGATGAAGCCGAGGCCAGGCACCCAGTGCCTACAGCAGGCTGGAGGTCCCTCATAAGACTGTGGTTCCCAGGACAACATACCGAGCCTGGGGTGCTGGGATGGAGCCCCACAGGGTGTCAGACACAGATCCCACTGTGGTATCCAGGCAGCCCCCACTGACCAAGGTCTGCAACCGCACCTCACCTGGTTGACAAGGTGTGAGGTGGGCGGGAACGGAGGTTCGGGCGGGCGGGAGTCTCTAGTCCCGTCCCAGGCAAAACTTTGCTGGCTTTGTTGAGACAGGTCCTTAGAGAATCATAGGAGTAAGAGTAGGAAGCCTCAAGGAGAACACATTCACTTCACCCATGGAGGAATGGCGAAGGCCAGACCCTCCCCACTCCTTCCAGATCACCCTTCTGTCCTCTGCAGCATCACTCTTTTAAATCTTAAAATTGTAAACAAAGGTTTTCTCTCTTCATCCCACTTCCCCTCCAGCCACAGTCCCGTTTCTCAGCCCCCTTTTGGTGCAAAACCCTTCAGAAGGGTGTCCAGTCCATTCCTTCTGCTTGAATCCCGAGGGTCAGCCCCTATGCCCATGACACTCTTGCCAAAGCCACCAGTGACTCCAGCGCTCGGCCCCAAGGAAGCTCCCAGGCTGCCACTCACCTGCCTCTCCTCTCTAGGCTCCTTTATTTTTCCCTCCCTTTCCCTGGTCAGAGCCCCGGCCACCTCCTCCTCATGCTGGAGTCCAGCCTTAGCCCTTGGCCCCTCTCCTCTCTAGCCCCATCCACTCCTGGTTATCTCATCCAGGATGGGAGCTCTAAATAAGACCTCAGCGTGAATGACACCCTCATGTCCAGCTCAGACCACAGCCGCAAACTGCGCACTCTGCCCTCTGTTCTGGCCCACAAGCCCCTCCCCTGGATGGACCTACAGGGTCCATCCCCTCCCCTCATGTCACCCCCAGCCACCCCTTCTCAGCAGCCTCGCCCTGGAGGCCCCCTCATTTGGCCCTCTCAGCCCAGGCCCCAATCAGCAGGAAGCCTGTCAGCCCTCCTTCCAGGGAGGTTCCAAACCTGCCCCTCGAATCCCCCCATGCCCCATCCAAGTCCACACCGCCTCTCATCTGGACCACAGCAGAGACCTCCTGCACTGCCCCCTCCCCTCAATCCCTCATCAGCACATCAGCCAGAGGCTCCCTGGAGAACAGAAGGGGCTCAGAACCCTGCAGCAGTGTCCACTGCGCACACAGGAAGAACTCAAGTGCCCGTAGGTGGTAAGTTACTTCCTTATGCATTGTGGTGACCCGGATCATCTGCCTCCCTGAAACCTGCACATGCACTCTAATAATGCAAGCTACGAACGGGTGGTCACCTTTGCCAGCTGTCATCCCAAACAGCTGGCACGGGGCATGCACACAGTAGGTGCTTAATAAGTGTGTGTTGGGTTAAGATAGACCCAACGCCATTTCAAATGTCCAGGCAGTGGTGTAGGCAGGGGTCAGCTCTGAAGCTGGCCTCCTCTCATTCGGGAGACCCTCAGAGGTCCCAGCCTCCAGGGTGAGGCCGTCAGAACAACACTTCTCAGTGCACATCTGGCTGTGTCCCTGCCAACCTTAATAGGGCGACCCGTCTCTCTAGACTCACTTTCTGCCCCGTCACCCCACTGTACACCCTTGGTGCCAGCCCCTTCCAGTGGCTCAGCTTCCTGAACACTCCAAGCCTGGGCTCACCTCTAAGCCATTATCCAGGCTATTCTCTCAGCCAGGATGCCCTTCCCATACCCGACCTTTAAGACTGGCTGAAGCAGCACCTCCTCTGAGAAGCCTTCTCTCCCAAACCTGAGCCCAGATGAGATAAGGCCCTTCCTTCCTCCAGTCAGCCTGGATCCTCTCATCTGGCAGAACTGTTGCCCTGCTTCTCCGAAGCGGTGAACGCCCTAGGGCTGGGGACGCACAGGCTCACTGGCCCATAACCGAAGCCGCTTCCTCTAGAGGAGGAAGTCCAGGGGTCCCAGGGTTCTACTTGCTTTTTTCTTCACCCAGCCCAAAGGGCAATTTTCCCACATTCCCTCGGAAACAGGAAGTTCCCCTACCCACACCGAGCCCATTCATGACCAAAAAAAAAAAAAAAAAAAAAAAAAGATCTATCCAATTTCCTCTGCTCAACCAGTTCCCCGGCTACCTGAGACCCTGCTTCACCTGGAGGAAGACAGTGTAAGTTCCCAGGACCCCCGCCACCCCTCAGCGTCAGAGGACCCTCAGCCTCCCTCGCGCACCTCTGGGCAGTTTGGTAACTCATCCCATCTCCTTCTGCCGCTTCACCCTCTAAGCCCTCCCCAGGGAACCCAGGAGGCGTCTGGAAGCTGTTGGGGACAGTCCCTCACACCTGCCCCATGGAGTAAGGGTTCATGTGGAAGCCCATCCTCCCCCAGGAGTCCCAAATCTAAGACACTCTGAGACTCCTGTCACCCACCCCCACCTTCCTCTGCGGGCCTTTCTGTGCAGTCCTTCCAGGAAATCCTGGCTGGAGCTGGGCTCTCAACTTTGGGCTCTGAGCTCTCAGCTTGACTGCACCCTCCCCAGGTCCCCAGGGAGGCCAGTGGTGACTATTCTTGAAACCAAGCTTGGCAGAGGATCTGGGGACACGCACACCAGATGCAAACACATTTGCACTGTTTCGGCTGGAATCTCCTCGCGCAGAGCACTGCACCCGTGGGCTTGCTAAGAAACAAACTCACAGAAGGCGGATTCATTGGACAAAAGGTATTTGGTCCCCAAATTTATTGACGTGTGTGAACGGGAGCCTTCAGGACAAAGACCCAAAGATATGGGGAAAATTGCCATTTTTGATGCTTAGGCTCAACAAAATATGGATATCCATGAGGGAACACAGATTAATCAAAGGACCTGCGCTAATGCTACTGGACCACAAGGGGAAGCGCAGCGAGGGTTGTTGGTCTAGATTTCTTGAACTTTCTGAGCAGCATTCCTTCCTTCTGGGCGTGGGGCAGGACCCTCCTGGAGTGGGGTCTTATGCCCTACAGTCAAACAAGGCAGGTCAGATAATTTCTTTATGGCCAGTTTCTGAACACAAAGGTGGAGGGAAAGTTAGAGCAATATTTTTAAGTTTGATGTCTGGCTGTGGGGAAAGGGGGGCTCCGATTTCTATGACCTGCCCTGGGGAAAATGGATTCTAGTTTCTATGACCAGCTTCGGGGAATAATGGCGCTGAGAGACAGCAGAGCAAGAGAAGGTCAGAGAAAAAAACTTTTGCTTCCGAAGCTGCTTCTGAAGCTGCTTCATTTTGGGGTATTATTTTCTGATCCCCGACACCTGAGCTGCTGAACCAAGGGTAGCCTGACCCACTCCCACATGACTTAGAATAGCTTCACCAGCCGGCCTTGGGCTACCTGGCTCTGGCCCCCTGCCCACCAGGACTTTGGCTGGCTCTCACTTGCCTTTGCGGTGTCTGTCTCACCCTGTCTCACTCCTGCAGTTTTCTGTTCTGTTGAGTGATGATTGACACATGACATTGGTTTTGACATTTGAGCCTGTGCCCAGCCGCAGGTAGGTGGGGCAGGAGTCCTGAGTGAGCATCTCCCTCCTTAGTGACAGTCAGGGGGCACGGAGAATGGTGCCCAGACCAAGGTCAGGGCCTGGGCCAAGTGTGCTCAGCACGTGGTGTGTGTGCTCAAGCGGCTCCTGCTGCGGAGGGCGGCATGAAGCCTGTTTACCTGTGTGCCTGCGTCTCTGGTGGCCCCTGCAAGGGTGGGGAAGTGGCAGGCAGGGTGAAATGGGGAAAAGCAGGCTCTCAGCTGCTCCTAGCAACCTCTGGGTCTGGGGAGAGAAGTGAGGAGGGGCCCAGAGCTGTTCCCAGAACTGCGCCTGTCTCCTGGTCACTCTTCTGGGGCTCTGTGCAGACCCTTGGCAGGGCCAGGCTACACAACACCCTCTACCACCTCCTCTTACTTCTTCCCCTAACCCCTCATTCCTCCACTCTCCTCTCCCCACCCTTGCCTCCCCTCCATCCTCTCCTTCTCTCCATCTCCCGGTCCCATCCCCTGCCCACACTGCCCCTCCTTGAGTTCAGAGTGAACACCTGTGCTGCCTGAGGGTCAGAGTGCCCACTCCAGCAGCCTGGATCCAAGCTGGAGAGGGCTGGAGCGGGCGAAGCCGGGCACCGGGCAAGCCTGCTGGTGGGCGGGCATGGGCGGGTCCTTCGAGGGGAGGGGCGGGTTCGGCCAATGAGAGCTCAGAGACCGCAGCACGGGCGCTCCCGGAACCATTGCAAAGGGCGAGTGCGGGAACTCAGAGCCAGAGGGGCGGTCCCTGTCCCAGGTCATCCCCCGAAAGGGCCCGGCCCGGGCTCACCCCGGAAGGACGGGTGCCGAGATCACCCGGGAGCGCTCACCCCACCGGCACCCGTGCCCAAGCCCGCCCCTGCGAAGGCAGGTACCCGAGCGCACTCCGGCGAGGGCGGCCCCTGAGCCCCGAACCCCGAACCCCGAACTCCGGCGCAGTGTCGCGCCTCTGCCCAATGAGGTGCCCCTGACATGCCTGCTGCGGCTGCCCCGCTCCCCCCAGCCTCCCCGCATCCTGGGATGGGGAGGGCTCTAGGCGCAGCTCCCGGGCCCTCAGTGGGTCTCCCCGCCCTGTCCCACCGGCCTGGGCTCGGTACCTCGGGGCCCAGATGTGCAGTCAGGTGTGAATGTGGCAAAATTTGAGAAAGGCCTCTGCAGCCGCAAAATCCAGTTCCCACCAGTTGGGGGCCAGGCGGGGAAGGGGGGGAAAGACAGCACTCCGCTGTGGGAGGTGAGGCAGAGCTACCCTGCCTGGGGAGCCTGGAAGGCTGAGCTGTGTCTCCCCTACGCACTCTAAGACCATTCCAGAAGCCCCTTGGACCTCTGGCTGCTGGTCACGGGGGAAGGTGGACCTTCCCTGAGAGCTGCACTGTGTTGAGGACAGGTGCAGCTACAGAGGCCTACAGAGGTCCCCCAGGCACAGGGACCCGCATCAGCCCTCCGGCCAACAGAAGGTGCTCATGATTTGAGGTGGACCCAGCCACCACTCTGAGCCTCTGCCTCCCTCTAAAAGTGGGGCATGGTGCCTTCCATGGGGCAACGGGGCACTGAGCCTGGCCCACTTGCAGGGGTGGGGTGGAGCAGCGTGTCCCTATCTCCCCTCCCATGGAGACTGTGTGCCTGGAGACCACAGCTGTCAAAAGTAGAGGAGGGGGCCCCTGATGTGTCCTCTAAAGTCCAGGTATCGGAAGAGCTCCACTGGGAGGAGTCCTGCAGTGCTGTCCTCTCTTACAGGCAAGGCCAGGCGGGTGCTGCCTGGGACCCAGTGACTCAGCACCCCCGCCCAGATCAGCTGGACTTTTGCCCCTGCTCCACCAGCCTCCTGCTTGGATCTCTCCTGGGTCTCCCTGCTGTGCCCGTCCAGGATGCAGGGAGCTTGGGCTCCCAGGGACCAGGGCCAGTCCCCTGGCAGGATGAGCGCTCTAGGCCGGTCCTCAGTCATCCTGCTCACCTACGTGCTGGCTGCCATAGAACTTACCTGCCTCTTCATGCAGTTCTCCGTCGTGCCAGTGAGTAACACACCCCAGCCCCTGCAGCCCCAGCCAGGGCTGTCCCGGTGTTCCTCCTGCCTTCCATCTGGGCTGTAGCAGAAAGTGGGGATAGGGGCTTCATGCTGCCAGGGTCCCTCCCGGTTGGGACCCCACGCCCCACTTAAGCTGAGTAAGTTAAGGACTCTGACTCTGGACCCCTGTCAGCACGTCGTGTGCTCCAGCTGCAGTGCCAGCCCTGGGAGAAGCCATGGGGAGGCACCCCACTTCCCTCCTGGGGGCAGCACCTCCTCAAACCATCCTAGCGCTGTTCCTCCTGCCTCTCACCTGGCAGCCTTTGCCCTCTGGAGTCCCTGCCCCATGGGCTGTTCAATCTGATCTGGTTCTGGGCAGTTCACCCCTCAGAGAGGCTCTCCTTGCGCCTGCCAGCAGCTTCTACCTCTCCCCTCCATCTTCTTGGGTCCCTGTTGTCCACTAAATGATCTGTGGCGGCAAATTAATCTCAAGCTTTTTCATGCAGGAGATAAAATGCTGTCTTATTTTATTATCTCTGTTGCCAAATGCGGAAACATTTCATTGGCAAATTCATGTTAGTTTAGTGTATCATTCAGTAGTCTACAGCACAGTGTGTGGCTCTGGAAGCTGTAATAGTAATGATTAAATTATATTCACCAAGTCTGGAGAGGCTTGGGAACAAAGTCTCACATCACCAAGAAGCTCAGGCAGAATCAGGGCCAACCCCAGGCCTTCCTGTGTTTGCTTCTGGGAAGCCTGGCGTGGGCTCAGACACCTGCTGCCCTCCTCAGAGGGCTCTCCAGCCCTCAGAGCCTGGACCTGGGCATCTGGGTGGGAGTGGGGATGGGCCTTTGGCAAGATTCCGGGCCTGGCAGAGGCTCCCAGCCCAAAGGTGAACCTAAGGATCCCTCCCCGACGTGCCTCAGGAGCCCCACCCACTCCTGCTAAATGGCTTGGGTCAAGCCCTGAATCTCCTCCCTACCAGTGGGGAAGGCCGGACAGGAGCCTTGGCTTTCTCATCATAAGATGGTAATAACAGTCCCTCCCTGTAGGGTTGGTGCAGGGAAGAGTGAATGAGAAGTCACAACCCTTCCCACAGCTGGGTACGGAACACAGGTGGAGTAGCTTCGGCCGCCCATCGACTCTCGTAGGGTGTAACCCTGTGCTGAGTGCCCAGGAGCTGACCCTGATGTCAGAACCTGAAATACTGCAGAGTGTAAAAGTCCTCAACGGTCCATCCCCTTGGAGCTGGTGGTCTGCACACACAGGGGCTGCAGTGGGAAAGGGGCAAGGTCTTCCTCATAGAAAAGGCAACCTTGGAGCAGGGCTGGAAGGAAGCAGGAGAGGCCCCGGGGCAGTAGAGAGACCAGAGTGGGCAGAGTGGACAGGTTGAGGCCAGAATAGGACCACACCCCACCTGCTGCTCAGAGAACTCTGGGCTGGTGATGGCCGTGGAGCAGGTGAGAGGTGGCTGGATTTTACATGTGTTGTCGATGGATTGCTGTGGGTGTGAGAGAAAGCAGGCTCAGGGAGCGCTGAAGATTTCGGCCTGAGCCCATAAGGAAGGAGGCATGGACAGGAGGAGAGGCAGTCTTTGGGGAAAGATGGGAGCCCAGTAGGGAACAGGTTGAGTTTGAGATGATTTTAGACCTCAGTGGAGAGCCAAAGGGAGCTGGACACAAGGCAGTTCAGCACAGAGGCTCTGGGGCCCTGCAGCAAGTAGACGGTCATGGAGTGGGCTCCCCCAGAGGGCAGGGAGGCTGGAGGTCGGATGAGCTGGGGGAACTGGCAGTGGAGGAGGGGTGGAGGACCCAGCACAGCCCAGAGCAGCAGACCATGGTGGAGGAGGGAAGAAGCCACCAAAGTAACTGTCACTCCAGTGGGAGGCATGCCAAAGCAGACCACTGGAGGCAGCAGTGTGGGGTCAATGGGGACCTGGGGGAGAGGGGAGGCAGCAGGAGGCAGGGGCCTGCTCCAAGGGCTGGGAGAGAAGGAAAGAGATGGAAAGAGAGGAGGCTGCAAGGTGAAGCAGCTGCTCAGAGCTCTGCCCGCAAATATGTGGGAGTAGCTGTAGGGGAGGGTCAAGAGAAGGCAAGAGAAGTAACAGGATATGAGCTTGCTCTAATGGACAACCCCCAGAAGAGGATTGTGCAGAGAAACTGGGAGAGTGGAGCACTGGGAGCTTGCTCCAGTGGGCACCCCCACAGAAGGGGACTGTGCAGAGAAACAGGGAGAGAGGAGCATTGGGAGCCCTGCCCTTGAGGAGGCAAAAGGTTGACATGTGATGCAGGCAGGGAGGATGACTTGGGTAGGCGAGGACAGGTGGGCAGGCATGGGGATGAGAAGCTCAGCATCCTCTATGAACAGGCACTTCTCAAAAGAAGACCTTCATGCAGCCAACAGACACACGAAAAAATGCTCATCATCACTGGCCATCAGAGAAATGCAAATCAAAAGCACAATGAGATACCATCTCACACCAGTTAGAATGGCGATCATTAAAAAGTCAGGAAACAGCAGGTGCTAGAGAGGATGTGGAGAAATAGGAACACTTTTACACTGTTGGTGGGACTGTAAACTAGTTCAACCATTGTGGAAGACTGTGTGGGGATTCCTCAAGGATCTAGAACTGGAAATACCATTTGACCCAGCGATCCCATGACTGGGTATATACCCAAAGGATTATAAATCATGCTACTATAAAGACACATGCACACGTATGTTTATCATGGCATTATTTACAATAGCAAGGACTTGGAACCAACCCAAATGTCCATCAATGATAGACTGGATTAAGAAAATGTGGCACATTTAAACTATGGAATACTATGCAGCCATAAAAAGGATGAGTTCCTTTGTACACGGATAAAGCTGGAAACCATCATTCTGAGCAAACTATTGCAAGGACAGAAAGTCAAACACCGCATGTGCTCACTCATAGGTGGGAATTGAACAATGAGATCACTTAGACACAGGGCGGGAACATCACACACCAGGGCCTGTCGTGGGGTTGAGGGATGGGGGAGGGATAGCATTAGGAAATATACCTAATGTAAATGATGAGTTAATGGGTGCAGCACACCAACTTGGCACATGTATACATATGTAACAAACCTGCACGTTGTGTATATGTACCCTAGAACTTAAAATATAATTTTAAAAAAAAAGAAAGAAAAAGGGAGAGGCTCAGCATCCTCACACTAGCAGCGCAGGGGAGGGGAGGGATGGAGGAGGCAGAGGTTTACTAGGGGAATGTGGGGTGATTGTCAGGTCAAGCTCACAAACATAAGGGAGACCTGGCAGACAGGGGGACTTTCCCATCCTTGCGGGAGCAGGGATGGAGCTGAAGGAAGGACTCTGGGGTTGGGGGACGGAGGGGTTACTGACTGCCCTTGGGACTGAAGTGCACCGGGGAGAATTCGTGTGGACCAAGGGGGACAGTGGAAAGAAGGGGAGTGGGACCCCAAGACTGAGTTTAGGGAAAGGTCCAGGGTGGGGGGAGGGGGCAGTGTATTAGCATCTGGGGCTGCCGTAACAAATTATCCAAAACCCTGGGGGCTTAGAGCAACAGAACCCTATTGTCTCACAGTTTGGGAGGCCAGAAGTGTGAGATCAAGGCTCCTTCTGGAACCCACGGGGGAGGAGCCTTCCCAACTCTTCTAGCCCCTGGGAGCCCGGACATCCCTTGGCTTGTGGCCACATCACTCTGTCTTCCCATGGGTTTTCACAGCATCATCCCTCCGAGTGTGTCTGTGTCCCAAATTCTCCTCCTAATGAGGATACAGGTCACATTAGATCAGGGCCCCCTCATGTCCTCACTGTGACCCGAGTAACTCTGTAAAGACCCCGTTTCCTAAGAATGTCACATTCTGAGGTTCTGGGGGTTAAGGCATATAAATTTGGGGGGTACACAATGAAGCCCATAATAAGTGACATCACTGGAAGGAGGGTTGGGAACTCAGAGGCATGGGCAGGGGGAGGAGTGGCTGCAGGGGGCCAAAGTCACAGAGAATTAGGGCAAGATAGAAGGGTGTCCCTGGGAGGAATGCTGTCACGGACCTACTCCTCCCGAGGGGCTGGGGGGCTGGAGCCTCACAGAGCAGACTGTGTCCTGCTAGGCAATAGGCCACCTCTTGGAGGTCACTTGGGGGCCTTGGGACAATCTGTTGCTGGCCAGGACAGTGCTGCTGGCTTCCCCACAAAGTTTTGAATGAATGAAGACAAAATGGTGGGGGTCAGGTGCCTCTCTGAGGCGTGCCCTGCAGAGGGGAAGGACCCTAGAGGCCACCATGAGCTCCCGCCTAGGAGAGGAGTAGCAAGGACCCTAAAGGCCACCACAGGCTTCCGCCTAGGAGAGGAGGAGCAGGGTCCCCCTGGGAAGGGCCCCTCGATAGTCGTACTGTGTAGTCAACAGAGCTCAGGCCCTTGGTCCCCTGCCACCCCCTGCCCATCCGGGAACCCCAGATTCCAGGCCCTGCAGTCTTTCCCAGCCCCTCCCTCTGGGCTCCCTCCTGTGTTTCAGTACCTGTCTCGGAAACTGGGCCTGGATTCCATTGCCTTTGGCTACCTACAAACCACCTTTGGGGTGCTGCAGCTGCTGGGCGGTCCGGTGTTTGGCAGGTACAGTGTGTGTGTGTACAGGGGGCTCTCCCCACAATGACCCAGGCCCCTTCTCAGACGCCATGGGCTCAGACTGGCCAGGTTCCCAGACCCCATACCAGACCCCCCTGGGATGATGGCACTTCTGGGTCCCAGGCCAGTGGGGGTGCAGAAGAACTTTGGCTCCCGGTAGGCTCCCTGGGTGTCCCACCCACGCCATCCACTAATCCTGGCTGTGGCCACAGAGACAATGTGATTGGAGAACACCCTGTGGCTGTAACGGCCCACACATAGGCCTGCTGAGGCCAGGCAGGAGGGACTTTGGGGGCCCCATACACCCTGGGTCTCAGTGCTGTGGGAACGCTGAGCGTGGACGGGACGGGGACATCCTCCCACAAGCCACAGCGGACAGGGGAGCAAGGGACACATAATGGGGGTTGCCTCTTCAGAGCAACCGGTAGGCAGAAATGAAGGGTTCCACAGGCAGCAGACCGGCAGAGGTCTGAGGGTTTCCAGTGGCTCAGAACAGGAGGGAGACAGGCTCTGCTTTCTCAGACCCAACCTGGGAAACACTTCCTGTTAAACACCGGCCCATCCCTTGGTCCTCTGGGATTCCACCATTTATTTTTACACGGAGTTGGTCTTTGCCCTGGGTCAGACTCCCAGCTCAGTGAAGCTGTCTGCACACAGCCCCACTGGGACGCTGGGGAAACTGAGGCCCTGAGAGGAGGGAGGCCTCCCAGCAGCTGCCCAGGCGTCCCGGCCGTCCATCCCCATCCGCACTCCAGCCTCCCTGGTCAGCCCCGCTTGGGCAGCCCCTGGACGGGGGGAAGGGGAGCCATGACTGCCTCCCTGAGGGTCTGACCCGCCCCTTGGACCCCAGGTTCGCAGACCAGTGCGGGGCGCGGGCGGCGCTCACGCTCTCTTTCCTGGCTGCCTTGGCGCTCTACCTGCTCCTGGCGGCCGCCTGCAGCCCGGCCCTACCCGGGGTCTACCTGCTCTTCGCCTCGCGACTGCCCGGAGCGCTCATGCACACGCTGCCAGGTAGGGCCTGGGGACTGGGGGCCAGGTGGGGCCAGGTAGGGGCAGCCTGCGGAGGACCCAGGACACCGCCAGGGAGGTCTGCGTGCGTGCGGGGTCTGGCCCTAAGGGCTGGACAGGGGTGGGGGCGACGTGGGGTGAGGCTTGTGGAAGGGCAGGTCAGGGGTGGGAAGGGCTTGGGAAGGTGGGTGGGGGAGGGGCCCACCGAGGGGCTTTCCCTGCTCAGCTCCCCCGCCCCGTCCCCAGCTGCCCAGATGGTCATCACGGATCTGTCTGCACCGGAGGAGCGGCCTGCGGCCCTGGGCCGGCTCGGCCTCTGCTTCGGCGTCGGTGTCATCCTTGGCTCCCTGCTGGGCGGGACCCTGGTCTCCGCGTACGGGTGAGTGGCGGGGCCCTGGGACAGAGGCTGCGGGTCAGGACGCCAGCGGCTGGGTCGGCCCCGCCTCGCCCTCTCTCGGCCTTGGTTTCCCCTTTTGCTCGTCGGGCGGGCTGGGCTGGGAACCCGCGGGGCGTGAGTGGCCACGTGATGTGGCTACAGGGGACACCTGGCTCCGTGCTAGGCCTAGGCCTGACCTCCTGAGCTGGCCCTGGATGAGGCCGGGTGATGTCTCAGTGCTGTCCGGGGCTCGACTGACTGCGAAGCAGTCCACGCACAGACCCATTGGGACGCTGGGGAAACTGAGGCCCTGAGAGGAGGGAGGCCTCCCAGCAGCCTCCTGCTGGGGACAGGAGTACCCGCGGACTGGGATGCTGTGGCAGCAGGGCTGAGCTGTTGGACGGTGCCCAGAGCGGAGAGTCCAGGGGGCACCCAGGCGGGCAGCGGGAGGATGGGGGATGCCGGGCTTCCCATTTGCCTCCTGACGGTCCCTTGCTAGCTGTCCCTGGAGGCTGTGAGGGTGGCTGTGCCCCAGGGAGGGTCCCCCAGGGAGGGTGCCCCAGGGAGGGTGCCCCCGGGAGGGGGACCGCAGCAGGGACTCTGGCGGGATAAGGAGGATCCATGGATCTGCTGCCTCCTTCTGGGAGCTCTTCCTGACTCAGTTTCCTCAGCTCTGAAATGTAAATCCTGATAGTATCGGCATGGTCCTGGGACAGTAGATGAAAGTCACAACTGTGCTCTGCCCCCAGCTTTGTATTATACACCCGGGGTCTCCCAGGCCCTGCACCAGCTGGCGACCCCCACCCTCTGCTGGCCTGTGAGTTTCCCTGAGGCTCCATTCTGGAGTGGAGTCTTTCTGGCATCTGAATCCCCCTCACATTGGAGATGCCCCTTGGCATGAGGCAGGCACTTCTGTGGACAGCAGGCTCTCCAGTCCTGGATGAACTGATCGCAGTTCCCAGGCCAGGCACCCCTGGGACCTCAAGACAAACCCTAACAATGGTGGAGGCCACTGGGCGCTGGCACAGCCCCAGGGATCAGCGCCGGGAGGGCACAGTGGCCTTGTTAGCACACTTCCTTCTCCGGAGGGCTCTAGGGCTGTGCTGCAGGCCTTGTTTGAGCCCCTGAACGTTCTCCCAGCATTTTCATTAGCGCCTGGGCTGGGGACTGGTGGCTGCTGATGGCTGTGAGCAGGAGGTGGAGTAGGGTGGGGTGGGCAGTTTGTCCGAACACCTAAACATTGCCCCCAGGACTCTGGTTCTAGAATACAGTGGCAGACAACACAGGCTGAGTGCCTGGGATGAATGGAATGTGATAGGAATTCCCATAACATCAGGCTGAGCTACATGGAGCAAAAAGTCACAAAGCAGAACAGGGGGCTCAACGGATGGGGTCACTAGGGACTGTCCGAGGAGGTGGCATCTGAGTCGAGGCCTGAAGCAGGTGAAGGAGGCAAAGAAACCACGGTACAGAGGCCCTGAGTGTGGAAGCCAGGGGTCCGTGTGGCTGGAGGGAGGGAGGAGGGGCAGGCGCCAGGCCGGGGTGCCCTGGGTGGCACAGCAGGGGTGAGAATGGGGGGTGAGCACCCCTGTAGGAAGACCGGTAAGGCAGCCATTGTGCCGGCCCAGGTGGGGGAGGATGGTGGCCGGACTAGAGGTGATCGTGGTGAGAGAAAGCAGAGGGCAGATTCTGGCTTGGTTCTGCCAGTGGGTGGGATGTGGGTGTGAACTCAAGATGGCAGTGCCAAGGCTGTGCCTGACCGTGGGGAGACTGGCAGCCTTGTGCAGAGGCCCAAGCAGCCTGGGGCACCACTGGGATTTGGGTCTTGTTCGGGCCCAGCCTGGGTGTCTGTCAGGCACTCCAGGGAGCTACTGAGTAGGCACCCAGATAAGGGGGAGAAACGGGATGCATCTTCAAGTATGGATGACTTGGAACCCTGCGCCCCCCAGCACTTCATGTTTTGGGGCTAGGAGGCGAGGAGGGAGCATGTCCTGGGAGCCAAGGGTCACAGGATTTGTGGGGGTCAGGGACCCGTGCCTCTACTGCTGGTGGCCAAGGAAGCCACAGTGGCCCAGCATCTGCAGCAGGGAGGCCATCCCAGTTCTGAGCACCACCCACCCCCACGCCAGTGCCAGCTGCAGAAGCCTCATGCAATAGACGGGTCAAGGGAAATGGGGAGACAGGAGAGGAGTTTGGGAAGTCGTGCTGTAAACGAGGGCAGAGATGGGTCCAGGAGGCTATGCTTAGGGCTGGAGGAGCCATGGGGAGGCGTCCCGGGGAGAGGGAAGGGCTGATGTGGGAGTCAAGCACATTGCTGGTAGGGTGTTCCTGGAGGATGGGGCTTAGGGCACTTGCGTGGGCAGCTGTGGTGGGACAGCAGGGACCACTCCCCCTGGAGCCAGGGGGCTGGCAGGTGTGAGGCATGGGGAGCCGGCACTACCCAAGGCCTGCCTCTCCAGGGTGGCCAGGGCGAGGAAGGGCGTGAGAAGGGCACGGGGAGGAGCGCTGGGCCCCAGCAGGTGGCTGAGCTTGGCGGCCGCCCTCCCAGGGTGCTGCCCACCCCGGGGACTCTGCCGCCTCAGGGCCCAGCCGCCTGCTGCCGCCTCCTTCCCTGGCCAGCCTTCCTCACCCATTAAGTGGGCCTTCCCCTGCCCTTACCCACAAGGATGCTGGGAGGGTCTGAGCTCGCTCAGGCGGTGAGTGTGGCCATGATGCTGGAGAGCTCAGCATGCATGCCTCCTGCAGGCCCAGCTACCAGGCCACAGGTCCCCTCCTGTCCTCACCTGCCCTTTCCCCCATCCCAGCTGCTGACCCAGAAGACACTACTCATGTCCCTCTCCCTCCCAGTAGCTGCCAAGACGGCCTCTACCTCTGCCCACACCTGCCAGAACATTCCATTCGCTTCCCTGCCTCCATTCATCCCAAGATCTGAGGCGCTTTACAACCTTGATGGTTCATAACCAGACCAGCGGCGACATTTCCTTTGATGGGTGGGGTAACTGAGGCCCAGGAGATGGTAAGGCTCCCTCCGTGGAGCTCCCCAGTCCCCGTCCAAGGCCCAGGCAGTGTGGGACTCCCTCAGGGTCCTCATACCACGCCCCCAAGACATGGGGTGCTGCTTGGGCCCTGTAGCACAAGCTGGCTGCCCAGAGTGGTGGTGACACGGGAGGGCTGCGGGGGTGAGCTTGTGGCTGGTACTCTGCCTTTGTCCAACCCAGATGGGGTGAGGGAGGCCCACACCTCCTCCTTGGGGGCTCACCAAAGGCAGTGGGGCCAGGTGCTGGCCAGGCTTCAAGGCCTGATGCCCCATGGCAAGGGCCAGCCCCCTGGCCCTCTTGGTCCGGCAGCCCTGACGCCCCCAGCCTGCTCTGGCTCCTGGTCTAGTGCAGGACAGGAGTCTGGTGCAGCTGTGAACACCCTCTGCCTTGCAGCCTTCCTGCTCTTCCTTAATGAAAACCGAGGCAGGATGTGCATGGGATCTCCCTCCCTGCCCACCTGTGTATCCTATTCCCCTGAAAGGCCCCAGTGCTGCCTCATCCGCACCCACCTGGGCAGCAGGTGGGAGGAGGAAGTGGACTTGGCACCCACAGGCTGCGGGGGCGGGCACTGGTATAACTGGTTTGGCCCAGCCTCCAGAGCCCAGGACTGAAAGGCCAGGCTGGCCTGGGGAGGGACCCGGGGCCTGAGTCACTGCACACACGCTGGGTGGGGGGTGGCTCTGTGACTCATATTCTGAGCCCATCCTCTCACAGCCTGGGGAGGGATGGGGAGAGGCCGTAGAGTCCTATCCCGAGCCAGACAGCAGGGAGTTTGCCTTCTCTGGGTGGACAGGCAGCCATCAGGGCAATGCCTATGGGGGTGCCAGGGCCCTGTGGGCAGGACACCCCTGCCCAGCTGAGAAAAAATGAGAAGCCAGGGGCACCGGAACTCAGAGGGGCAGGAGGGGGTAGGAGGGGAAGTGAGCAGCACCCCATATGACACAGGGCACCCCAAATGCTGAGCAGAGGCTGAGGGGTGCGGGGTGTTTGTAACAGGGCACCTGCTGTACAGGGAAGCGGCTCTTGGGGGCAGGTAGATGCAGAGCAGGGGCTGGCAGGCAGCTGAGGGCGCAGCAGGACGTGGGGGATCCGGGCCTGCTCCCACCCCAGCCAGGTGACTCAGCCACTGCCTTAGTCCGTGGGCCTCCCAGTGCCCAGGACACTCCAGTTCTTTCTGTTCTTCCCGCGGCAGGGAGGGAACAGGCCCCGCTGAGATGGTTCTGGCCCAGCCATCCCTCAGGACAGCCCTGGTGAGCAGTGGGCCGGACAGGCCTCCTGCTGGGCCTGTGAGTCACTCCAGTCTCAGAGCCCATTTGGGGCAGGAGGGGCTTGTGGTTTGGTTGGAGGGCTATGTGTTTGGGGAAGGGGAGGACCAGGTACTGGGAGACACAAGGACTGGGAAGGGTCTGGCCAGAGGGGCCTTTAGGACCTTCTGGGGCACCCTGGAAGCCAGAGGGCCACTGAGTTAGGAGTGGCATGGCAAGATGTTCTTTTTCAAACATAGTTCTAACTGCAGCATCCTGGGGCACGGATGACTTCTCCCGGCCCTGGGCTGGACATCCAGGGACGCTCTGTACGCCCCCCTGCCCCATCCTCTTATGAGCTAGGTGTCCCATGAAGCCAAGTCCCAGCTGATCCAGCCTTGGCCCCACCTGTGGGTTTTCTCCTGGCAGCAGGATGACCTGGGCATATGTTGTCACCTTGTGTGTCCCCTCTCAGAGCCTCAGAGCAAGGTGAGGCTTGATGAGGGCTTGTCACTGTAGACCACACCGGAGTCCAGACTTCACCAGAGGTTCCTGGAGACACGGCTGAAAGCCAGCTCCACCCCTTGCTGTCTGGGCAGCCCCAGGTGTGGGCTGCGGTTGGTGGGCGGGATGCAGGTGGGCTGGGCCCCGCAGGTCCAGAGGGGCCCCAGAACAGGAGAGTGAGGGGCAGTGGCAGCTGTGAGCCCAGCCCACATTTGCATATAAGGAAAGGAGGTCACCTAGCAGGTGAGCGGCAGAGAAGGGACAGAGGCTCTGGGTCCCCTGAGTCCTGTCCAGTGTCCTTTCAACAGCATCTATGTGTCCAGATAGACACTCCTGTAATACATTCAACCGAAAGAGGAAGAGGGGACAGACAAATTAACCTGTCCCCATCTTGCTGGTTGTGGCTCCATTGATAAAAGTGTTGGATGCACCCCTGGTGCCCCTGCATCTGGCAGATCGGGGTGAGGTTGAGGGGGACTGAGCAGGAGGGACTGACTGCACTGTGCTCAGTGTGCTGGGGGATGCCCGGGCTGTCCGGCGTGCAGAGGCCCCGGGGCTGAGGACAACATGCTGGATTTCCTTCCCACTCCCGTTTCCCTCCTGGCAGTTTGTTCGTGGAGAGCAGGAGAGAGCTCTGACTGGGGAAGGACAGCCTGCCTCTCCCCCAGCAGCCACCTGCAGCCCCCGGTACAGTTGTGGCCCTGACTCCCTCCCTCCTGGGGCCCTCCAGGGTCCCCTAGTCCCAGGCTCTCCTGTTGCCCACAGCAGCACTGGCCTTTGGTTTGCCCACCACCACTCGAGGGCCTGGATCCCTACCACCACGCCTTGCTTGTCACCAGCCTCCTAAAATAGCCATCGAAGTGGTGCCTCTGCTCCTGTGTACTTCTGGGGCATCTGGCAAAGAAGGCAGGTTTTGCCCCTGCCCAGCCAGACCCTGAGCTGTGACACGCAGGCCTCTGAGGCCAGGATCCCAAAGAAAGGGCCCTTCTCTCTGGGGCTGGCCACAGGGGCCAGGTGTCCCTCCCAACTGGAGGGACAAGCTGTGGGGCCCTAGCCCAGCCCTGCCCCTTCCCTGGCATTTTCCCAAAGGAAGGGCCCATTCTTGCAGAAACCCAGTAGCCAGAAAGCCCAAGTAGGTGACGTCCTGGGCCGTGGGTGCTGCAGGGGTCAGAGCTGCCCTGATGGATTGGCGGGGGCAGCAGCACAGGCCAGGTGGATGTGCCGGCCCACCCCAGACTGATGTGAGCTCAGGGGTCCTGCCTGAGAAATGAGGGGTGGCCAATGCCCAGACTCTCTGGACCCAGAGGTGGCCCCACTGACAGTCCTAGTCAGTGCGGCACCAAGTCCCTTCCTTGCTCTGGCAAACAGGTGCATGTCAATGCATGTGTACAAGTTTGCACGTGTGCATGTGCGCATGTGCACGTATGTGTGCATGTGCACGTGTGTGTATGTGTGCGTGTGTGCATATGTATGTGTGCATGTGTGCATATGTGCGTGTGTGTGCGTGTGCGTGTGTGTGCATGTGTGCATATGTGTGTATGTGTGCATGTGTGCATATGTGCGTGTGTGTGCGTGTGCACGTGTGTATGTGTGCCTGTGTGCACGTGTGTGTATGTGTGCGTGTGTGCATATGTGCGTGTGTGTGCGTGTGTGTATGTGTGCGTGTGTGTGCGTGTGTGTATGTGTGCGTGTGTGCGTGTGTGTGTGTGTATGTGCGTGTGTGTATGTGTGCGTGTGTGCACGTGTGTGTATGTGTGCGTGTGTGCATATGTGCGTGCACATGTGGCTGTGGTGAAGGGGGGTGGAGGAAAGTCCTTTCTTTGAACTCTTTGGTGGGGACACGGTGGCCTATGGCTGGCCTTGTTTTCGGGTGTAAGGGCATCTTCCAGGATCCTGACCCCTCCTGGTGTCTGTGCCCTGAGGCCCTGGCCAGGGCAGATTTGGAGGCTCTGTTGAGGTTGGGGCAGAACTTGTGCTGCCTGTGTGACCGGCTCACACATTTCTCCTATCATCGGATGATCACTGCGGTCTCCATGCAGGGTCCCATCCCGGCCCACCTGCCCTCAGGGGCCAGATTCTAGCCAACTGGTAAAGTGAGTCCTTCTCAGATGGCATGCTGTCTGGGAAGGAGGGCTGGGGCCTCACCAAGAGGGGCCCTTACAGGCTGTATAGGAGTTTGCTCAGCTGCTGAGAGGAAGGCTGTGGCAGTCCGGCACAGGCCTGGAGGCCTTACAGGCGAGCTCAGTAGGAAGCCCCGATTTCCTCCTGTCTCTCCCTGAGGGGAGGGGTCTGGCTCAGCCCCCAGGAGGCAATGGTGACAGTCGGAACAGCCAGCTCCATGTGCCTGTGTTCCCAGGTGACAAAGTCGGCTGGTTCCTTCCAGGAGAATCACAGGCCCGAGTTTCCAGGTGGGGACTCATGGCAGGGAAGCTGACAGCAGAGCCAGAGTCACAGGCCTTGGTAGTGGCCCAGGCAAGTGGGAAGGTGGCAAAGCAGCCTGAGGGGCACATCTGCGGCTTTGCAAGGCTCTGGGATCCCAGCCCAAAGCCCCCACCAGGCCCAGCATGCCCCACCCACTCTGGAAAGTGGGGAGGGGTCTGACAGGAGGGGAGGTGATTTCTGAGGGCCCGCTGAGTGCCAGGCCCACCGGTGCCCACACTGGGGAGGCAGCATGGCCATCCCCGTGACACAGCACAGATGCCGAGGTCTCAGAGAGCCCCTCCCAAGGACACGCAGACCAGGCTTGCCCTTTGGAGCCCCTCCTGACCTTGACCAGCCAGGGAGCTGCTGTCCTTGGGAGGATCTGCTGCCTGCTACCCACAGGGGCTGCCGGGGCCTGCATGGTGTGGTGAGGGTCAGGGATAGTGAGCGCCCTACCCGTTCCTTCATCCATCACCTAATAAATGTGCTCTGAGGGTCCCAGTCCCCGCTTTTTGGGCCACAGACTGTGGAGATGTGGGAGTCAGGTTTAAGCTATTTTAGTGTGACTGAAGGCGCAGGTTGGGGGATGTGGCTGGGGCGCCTGGGCCCTGGGACCCGCGCCCTGTGCAGCCAAGACTGTTGCCCACAGGATTCAGTGCCCGGTCATCCTGGCTGCCCTGGCCACCCTCCTGGGAGCTATCCTCAGCTTCACCTGCATCCCCGCCAGCACCAAAGGGACCAAAACTGACCCTCAGACTCCACCGCCAGGTAAGCCCCACCAGGTGAACCCTGCCCAGATGCTGGGTCTATGGGTGGCACTGGCTAGGTCTACATGCTCCAGCCAAGGGGCACAGGGGCCTGAGGGGAAATCTGGGGGCTACTCACACCCTCCTGCCTTCCTTGAACCCCTCCCAGCTGCTAACATCATAGGAGCCAAGTGAGGTGTGGTCATGAAGAAGTGGAAGTGGGGCTCCGCCAAGCAGGGAGGCCCAGAGAGGGGGGAGGCCCAGACAGGGAAGGCATTAGGAGGGGAGGCTCAGAGAGGCCTGGGGAGGACCAGGAGGGACCCCCAACAGGGTGGGTGGATCAGTAAGGCTTCCAAGGCTCTGAGTGTCCAGGGAGAGGTGAGGGTTCTGCCCAAAGGGCACTGATTGGTGGAGGGCAGAGGATGGTCAGGCTGGTCCCACGAGGAGAGGCCAAGGCTCCTCAGAGGGGCTCCCCTGAAGGCTGGCCCCCTGCTGAACCCAGCCCCTGAGTGCCAGGCACGTGGCAGGATCCATGCCTCGGTGCCTAGGGACTAAGAGCTCAGCCTGGGACGGAGGGACCCACCTGGGGTCATCCTGGGACAGGAGGCTGTGATGGAATTAACCTAGAAAGTCCAGGGGGAGGGCCAGGTGGAGCTCGGCCTGTGGCAAACACAGCAGAGCCAGAGAGGCAGGAGCCCCTGGAGAAATAGCGAGGAAGAATTCGGTGAGCCGGGCTGGGGACCCGCGGCTCTGCACTCGAAGGTGTCCAGTTGGCCAGGCCACGGCGGTGACTTGTGGCCACAGAGAGGGGTGCAGCGTTGCCATTGTCTTCCTCTGGGCTGGTGGCCTGGTCATGCTCGGCCCCAGGCCCCAGGCCAGGACCATAGAGGAAGCAGCTATTGGTCCCTTGTTCAGGGACTGCCACAGGCCTGCACCCCTGCAAGCTCAGGTTGAGGCCAGGCTACCTGCAGGCAGAGAATGCTTTTCCTGAGTGCCTCTGGGGATTCAGGGGGCCCTTAGGAATGAGTGGCAGTATGCTGAGGGGTGGTGCCCACCTCGGGGCTGGGAGCATCACCAGCTCCCATTCCCACAAGTAAGTGGCACTGAAGCCAAGGAAGGAAGCTCTACCCAGGTGGGCGCAACAGGAGCCTAGGAGTGGCGAGGCCTGCAGCTGGGTGAGGGGTGGGCATTGGGACAATGGCCTCTCCGTGCCAGGCGGCCCCCGGGCCAGTGTGTTTGACCTGAAGGCCATCGCCTCCCTGCTGCGGCTGCCAGATGTCCCGAGGATCTTCCTGGTCAAGGTGGCCTCCAACTTCCCCACAGGTGAGTCCCAACTACTGCCCCGACAGCGGCCAGAGCCTGGCAGAGTTCCAGCTGCGGCCAGGGCCTAGCCCTTCCTCTGGCCCGTGTCCCACAGGTCCACGCAGGTGTGGTAGAGCAGGCGGGAGCGGGAGGAAGGCAGAAAAGGGTCTTTCCCGCCTCCTTCCAGCCCCTCCACACTGTGCAGCTGCACATCCCAGGGAGGGTCCCCACAGGCAGAGGGCCTGGCTCGCAGCCATGCATCCCTGCATGCTCCTCAGCTCTTCACCCTCCTACCCTGTGGCCCCACGTGCTCTGCAGACAGCCTGAGACACAGGGACAGCAAGTCTGAGTGTCAACACCGCCTTCTGAAGCATGCTGGCCCAGCAGACCCTAGGCTGTCACAGACCACAGATAGGATAGCGAGCCATGGACAAGCCCAGGAGCAGCCCTGTCCCTCAGAAGCCCCGCCTGGGCTCCTCTAACTGGGATGCCAGGAAGCAGGATGGAGAACAGGCCCTCAGCACTCTGACTGGCCCCGGCCTCTGTCCCACCCAGCCCACCCAGGCCAGCTCTGTTGATTCTCAAAACTGGAACCCAAGCTACTAACCTCAGTAACAGGCCCTTTGAGGGCCTGTTTTTTGAGACCACTGCCCAGGCTGGTGTGCAGTGGCATGATCTCAGCTCACTGCAGGTTCCACCTCGCAGGCTCAAGCAATACTCCTGTCTCAGCCTCCCGAGCAGCTGTGACTACAGGCATGCGCCACCACCCTCAGCTAATTTAACTGTTTGTAGAGACAGGGTCTCACTATGTTTTCCAGGCTGGTCCCAAACTCCTGGCCTCAATCAGTCCTCCCTCCTTGGCCTCCCAAAGTGCTGGGATTGCAGACGTGACTTTGAGGGCTGTTATAATAGACAGCCATAGTGGATCTTGGGGCCAAATCCTCCCACATGGTCAGCCCTGGGTCCCTCCCTTCCAGCACCTTCCCGCTCACAGTCCAGAGCTTAGCAACTGCATGGGAGGCATTTCCCACACCAGGGATCCGGCAGAATCCCAGGGAAGGGTCTCATTGGTCCGGCTGGCATCACAGGCCCCTCCCTGAACCAGTCACCGGCCAGGACCCAGACACCCTGATTGGCCAGGCTGCTGAGGTGGGAGGGAGGTGGGCGCCAAGGCCGGGCTGTGGGAGTGCTCACCCCGTTCCCCTGCTCAGGGCTCTTCATGGTCATGTTCTCCATCATCTCCATGGACTTCTTCCAGTTGGAGGCCGCCCAAGCTGGCTACCTCATGTCCTTCTTCGGGCTCCTCCAGATGGTGAGTGGGCACACAGGGCCTGCTGGGGGGCACGGCAGGGGTCTCCAGTGGGGCAGGCCTCTGAGAGTAGAGGCTCCTCCCCGGTGGAGGCTGGCGAACCCTTGGCCTCCCATCTGGTACATGTCAGGGCCCACAGGGAACCAGGCATACAGGCCAGGGAGGAGAGCCAGCTGCCGTGGTGGGCACGCTGTGAGGACAGTGGACTCTGGCCTCTGATGGGCAGCCAGCTGGGATCTGTGGCAGCCCACCTGCCCACCAGCTGTGTGACCACAGCAAGTCTCCCAACCGCTCCATATCTGTCCCATGAGGCCAAAGTGCCCGCCTTGCAGGGTCCTTGGCAGATGAAATGACCTAACATGGCAAAGTGCTTAGACCAGTGTGGGCCCCTTTGGAGGTCCCACAGGAGCAAGATGCCAGCCCTCAGAGGCCACACTGTCATGGTAGGATGCCCTGAAACCCTGGCAGCTCCGATGCGGCAGGTGTCCTGTCTGCCCCCCAAGAACCGCTCAGCTACCAGGCCAGGGCGAGCCACCTCCACCGCCAGCTCCTCTGGGCATCTGGACCAGACCCTGGGGTGGTGGGGACAGGTCATGATGTGCCGCCACCCGGGATGGCCGCCTGACAGCCAGAGCACAGGGCAGGGGCTATTCTGGGACCCACCGGGGTGGGCACAGGGGCTTTCGGCCTCTCCAGAAGCCTGTGGCATTCCTGGCACCTCCAAGTCATCTGCTTTTCAGCCTCTGGACCCAGGACTAGACTAGCGCTAAAATAGCTGCTCCTGGGAGGGGCTAGACCCCCACTGTGGGCAGGGAGGGCCTCGGTTTTGTGGGCCAGGAGGAGCCACCCTGGCAGGGTAAAAAGAGATAAACAGAAAAACAACAACAGCAACAATAATAGTAACAATCCGGGGCTGGTGCCTTGGGGCCTGTTCTGAACAGGCTGTGCCCAGCTCACTGCAGGGAAGGATGCTTAGCCAGACCCTGGCTGAAGTCTGCAGCTGGGCTGGACACTGCAGTCATTAGCCTGTGTCGTGGGGCATTTGGGCCTGCCATGGCTGCAGTAGGGCCCCTGCCTGAGACAGAGCTGGGGTGGTGACCAACACCATTGGGACACCCTCGCAGGAACTGGGCCTGGCGAACTGCCCAGGGACGGGGAAGCAGTGGGATGAGGCCTGGGGACCCCGACACAGGCTGAGTGCAGGAAAGGAGGCTGAGGAGGGGAAGGAGAGGCCCGCAGAGTAGCCCCCAGGCCCCAAGTCCGGCCAGGGACAGGCTTGTTAGCTCCAGGTTCATGTCATAACCTGCAGGGCTCCTAAGTTCAAGCTTTTTAAAACTTATTGGGTAAATTGAGATGCAACACAAATAGGCTTCTGGCCTTGGTGTCTGAGTCCTGGCTTGAAGTCCTTCACGGCACTCACCGTGAGCTACTCCTAAGCGCATTGCACGAAGTGGAACTTGCCAGCTCTTCCTTTTAAAAACGTGTTAAAATCCCCAAAAACCCTAAGATAAAGCAAGCATGAAGGTAAGATTTTTAAACCATTTATGATTCCTGTTGGAAGCAATTTCTGTTCTGCCGGGCAGGAAGTGGAGAGAGTGACTGGTGCCCTGCAGAGGTGCTGCAGGCTGGGCCTGCCCTGCAGGCAGATACTGAGCCCGGGGACTCCTCCAGCGGGGGCCACCCCTGCACTCCCAGGTGCTTTGGCCCAGCACACCCTGCTCGGTGGAGGAGCTGAGATGACCCAACAGGGAGCCTCGCCCTGGCCTGGGAGCAGCCAGTGGCTGAGCCTGTCCCATCGGGTCCATCCCTGGTTTCCCTGGTGTGGGCCTTTCCTTCCTCTCTGTGGAGAGGAGCCCCATCTCCTCAGGGACCTCAGACCCATCCTGACGCAGTCACTGCTGGCAGGGTGGGGAGAGACCCCGGGGCTTGCAGATGCTGAGGGGCCTTCTCTGCAGAGGGACCCTGGCCACCAAAGGCCAGTCTGGAGGTTCCCTGCTTGGGGGGCTGGCCACAGTCCAGACGCCCCTCCCTCACCTCTCCCATACCTACTTCTACCCTCTCTGTCTGGTCTAGGTGACCCAGGGCCTGGTCATCGGACAGCTGAGCAGCCACTTCTCGGAGGAGGTGCTGCTCCGGGCCAGCGTGCTGGCCTTCATCGCGGTGGGACTGGCCATGGTGAGGGCTCCTCGCTTTGGGCCCCTCACCTGACCCTCTCACTGGGCAAGGCCACTTGGGCGGTGCCATCTGTGCTTGAGCCCCTGGGGCCGCCTCCACCCCTCCACACCCACCCAGGGCCAGCTCTTCAGCAGGGGCAGCAGTTAGGGTGGAGAGGGACAGGTAAGACCCCAGAGAGGAGCCTGGTCCCGTGAGGCCCCCACTCAGCTCGGCCCCGCCTGCCGTCCCAGGCCTGGATGTCCAGCGTCTTCCACTTCTGCCTCCTGGTGCCCGGCCTGGTGTTCAGCCTCTGCACACTCAATGTAGTCACCGACAGCATGCTGACCAAGGCTGTCTCCGCCTCAGACACAGGTGAGCTGTGGCCAACTGGTGGGGCAGCCTCCTCCAGGAAGCCCTAGGAGCTACCTAGTGGGGCTGGGGTGGGCGGCCTAAGGTCTGTGTGGGGTGGATAGGGTGGGAGGCCTGGGGTCTGTGTGGGGTGGGTGGAGTGTGTGGGGTGGGCGGCCTAAGGTCTGTGTGGGGTGGGTAGGGTGGGAGGCCTGGGGTCTGTGTGGGGTGGGTGGAGTGTGTGGAGTGGGGGGCCTGGGGTCTGTGTGGGGTGGGTAAGGCGCACAGCCTGGGTCCTGCATGAGACTCCTGCTCTACCACCTAGCCCAGCTGGGGGCAGGCCAGGGGCCTGGGAGGGGGCTGCCCAGAGGTGGCAGTTGGCTTGGCCCTGAGAAGCACCTAAGGGCCTTGCATGCCAGACCTGGAGGCCCCAGGGACTTCTGGGCCCTACCCCAGCATGGAGGCGGGCACACAAGTGCTCAGGAGCTTCACTCAGAAGGAATGAGTGAGTGAATGAATGCGCAGCAGTAATTAAACCCAGGAAGCCCCTAGGTCACTGCGGGGACACAGGTACCCCAGACAGAGATCCCCCAGCCCCCACTTCGGACCCAGCTTTCTTTCTTGAGGCCTAAGAAAGTCCCTCAAGCAGACTGAGGGTGCCCTGGGCCCAATGGTACCCAGGCTCCTGCTCCACCCCAGGCACAGTGTGGCTACACACTAGCCAGTGCAGGGGGCTCCAGTGGGCTGGTTGAGGTCAAAGGAGTCAGGGAGTCATTTGGAGTACTGGAGATTCTTCCAGGACTCCCCAGCAGCAGAGCCAGGAAGCTCAGGGCACACATCTGACTCTCCATCCACTTGCCTGTCTGGGAGGCAGCAGACCGAGGTCTAGAGGCCCGGATGTGGCCAGGCTGCAAAGGACAGGCCTCTTCTCAGGACTGCCTGGGAACCTCCAAGGCCTTCCAGGACTGTGACTCCATGGTGCATGGGCTGATGCGGGCTGAACCAGGAGGGCTTCCTGGAGGAGGTTGGGCAGCACTTTGGAGAGGCCAGGAGGAGGGCACAGGAGAGGAAGGCCTGGGGAGATAAGGACCAGGTCGGGCTGGGAAGAGACCCCTGGAGGCTGAGAGAGACCCGGCCCAGGTCACTGGGCCACATCATGCACAGACACCACCCCTGGCCTGGAAGGAGTCAGCACCTGGTTCCCAGCAGCAGCCTGGAAACCCAGCGACAGAGGGGGCAGAGGACAGAAGGGGCAGGAACTGCACCCTGTGTCTGCAGAAGAGGCTGCTCTTAATGATCCTCCACACCGGGTCCTGAGCCCAGGTGGGGCCTGGCCAGCTTCTCATCACAGCTGACCAGCCCCGGGATTTCCAACTCCAGGACACCTGGGCTCTGAAGTCCCTGGAGCCAGAGACCCTCTGGGCACGGGACCAGAGGCAGAGAGTGTCCTCCCAGCTGGAGGCCTGGGGGGTCCTCTGTTCAGTGAATGCTGCCCCCGTGTTGCCCGAGTGTTGACAACAGCCACAGATAGTGCCCACGTGCCTGTCCATGCTGGGGGTCGCTGGCCAGAGGGGTGTGGAGATGGGGTGTCAGGGACAGCGCAGGCTGCTTCGCAGGTGTGGGCTGTCCGGGGAGCCTGGGAAGCGGCTCAGTCTTGCTGGGGCTGCAGGAGGGGCAGGTGGAGGGGCTCTGCATGGGCTCCCGAAGCCCCTGTGGGAGGAGTTCCTGGAGTAGTAGGAGCTCCGCAGGGGGGCGGCTGGAGGAGGGGCTGATGGCCAGGAGAGGCTGTGGGGTTGGGGTGTCATGCCCACTCTGAACTCAAGCCCCAACAGTGTCTCACAGGCCAGGCTTAGCCTCCCCACTGCATCACCAGCCCTCAGTGGTGGCAGGCACCCTGGGAAAGAGCCGTGAGAGCCACAGCTCCCTGACACCCTGGGCGGGAGGTTCCGGGCCCCAGGCACAGATGCCATCTCCCTTGGCAGGCCTGGCAGGGCGGGGCCTGCTGCGGTGACCTGTGGCCCCATTCCCAGGCTCCTCCTGTGCTTGGAAACTTTCTGGAGCAGGGAAGAGACTCAGCCCAGTGCCCCGGGAAGCACCCTGTGCAGCCCCCTGCATGGCTGAGAGGTCCTCGGGGAATGGCCCAGTGGGTGGAGAGAGCTGCGTTTGCTCCAAAGGCCGGGCGGGTGGCAGGGAGTGGGGGACGGGAGGTTAGAAGCCAGCAGGTGGAAAGGAGGGGTGTTTGGGGGAGGATTTCACCAGACTATGCAAGGTGCAGACTGCACCGTGAGGTTGGGATGGGACAGGAGAGATGAGAGGTCATGGCTGTGTCCAGGAAGTGGGCAGCCGGCCCAGGGAGCTGCCCAGGGCCTGACTACCCCCATGCACCCCCCAGGGGCCATGCTGGGCCTCTGTGCCTCTGTGCAGCCACTGCTCCGAACGCTGGGGCCCACCGTCGGCGGCTTCCTGTACCGCAGCTTTGGTGTCCCTATCTTCGGCCACGTGCAGGTTGCTATCAATGTCCTTGTCCTTCTGGTCCTCTGGAGGAAACCTATGCCCCAGAGGAAGGACAAAGTCCGGTGACTGCTGCCCAGACACAGACTGGCAATAAACTCCTGCTAAATCCCTCCAACCTCTTCCGGTCTGGTTTCTGCAGGCTGTCGCATGGTCTGCCTGTGTCCTTCCGTGAGGGATGGGGCCTCAGGGCTGGAGGGCTTCCTAGAGGAGGGGGCCTACAGCTGGGCAAAGCTCTGGGAAGGACAGAATCACCCAAATTGGCTCACCGTTATGAGTGCAGTCCGCCCACAAAGGAGTTTCCCTGCTGCCACACACACAGCTCTTGCTCACTCCCGGAGCAATGGGGAGCTCACTGCCCAACCCCCGCCCACAGTGTGCCTGCCTAAAAGCAGAAACAGGTTTCTTTAAAAGATCAGGGAACCTGGCTGGGCGCGGTGGCTCACGCCTGTAATCCCAGCACTTTGGGAGGCCGAGGCAGGCGGATCATGAGGTCAAGAGAAGGAAACCATCCTGGCCAACATGGTGAAATTCTTGCTCTACTAAAAATATTTTTTAAAAAATTAGCTGGGTGAGGTGGTGCACGCCTATAGTCCCAGCTACTCGGGAAGCTGAGGCAGGAGAATCGCTTGAACCCAGGAGGCAGAGGTTGCAGTGAGCCGAGATCCCACCATTGCATTCCAGCCTGGCAACAGAGCAAGACTCTGTCTCAAAAAAAAAAAAAAAAAAAAGAAAAGGTCAGGGAACTGAGGCGTTCCTAGATGGCAGGAAAAATGCCCTCACTCTGCTGAACAGCCCAGTGCACAAACCCAAACCCTGGTCCCAGAACTGCACCAGGGAGGCTGCCAGCCACCCGAACCCCAGAACTGCGCCACACACGGCCAGCCACACGGACCCCAGAACTGCACCAGACACAGCCAGTCACATGAACCCCAGAACTGCACCACACACTGCCAGCCTCCCGAACCCCAGAACTGCACCAGACACGGCCAGCCACACGGACCCCAGAACTGCACCAGACATGGCCAGCCACCCGAACCCCAGAACTGCACCAGACACGGCCAGTCACATGAACCCCAGAACTGCACCAGACACCAGCCACGAACCCCAGAACTGCACCAGACATGGCCAGTCACCCCGAAACCCAGAACTGCACCAGACACGGCCAGTCACATGAACCCAGAACTGCACAGACACAGCCAGTCACCCCGAACCCCAGAACTACACCAGACACGGCCAGTCACATAGACACAGAACTGCACCAGACACTGCCAGCCACGAACCCAGAACTGCACCAGACCACGGCCAGTCACATGAACCCCAGAACTGCACAGACACTGCCAGCCACCGGAGCAGAACTGCACCAGACCACGACCAGTCCACATGAACCCAGAACTGCACCAGACACAGCCAGTCACCCGAACCCAGAACTGCACCAGACCACACGGCAGTCACAGAATCCCAGAACTGCACACCAGACACTGCCAGCCACGAACCCCAGAACTGCACCAGACCACACCCCAGAACTGCACCAGACACGGCCAGTCACCCGAACCCCAGAACTCCTCTGGTGTCCCCTTCTCTCAGCCTCTTTGACCTATAGCTCGATGGCCCCCAACATTTTCTGCACCAGGGACCAGTTTCATGGAAGACAGTTTTTCCACAGATGTGGCTGGGCAAGATGAAACTGTTTCACCCCAGATCATCAGGTATTAGGTTCTCATGGGGAGTGCTCAACCTAGATCCCTCTTGTGCACAGTTCACAATAGGGTTCTCACTCCTGTGAGAATCTAATGCTGCCGCTGATCTGGCGGGAGGTAGAATTCAGGTGGTCGCTTGCCCCGCTGCTCACCTCCTGCTGTGTGGCCCGGCTATGGACCAGTACCCATCCGTGGCCCAGGAATTGGGGGCCCCTTCTATAGCTGATTTGCTGGCCAGGCCATGCACTGTTGCCTTCCAGCCTCCTGACCACAGCACTTCCCGACCCCTCACCCCCACCCCCTGGCCCTGGGTTCTGGAGAGAAGGAGAACTGGGCATGAGAAGGCCAGCCCAGCCGCTGTGACCGGTTGACCCATCTGGAGAGAACAGACTTTCCACAGCCTCAGCGAGGGTCTGCAGCTGCCCCTGAGACCACGAAGGCTGCCCCTTCTCTCCTCGGGCTGCTTTTAAAAGAAGCTGTTAAAACATGGACTCCCCAAACCTTAGAATTCCACTGTTCTCAGAATTTGAGGAATTCCAAAATTCCTCAAACAAGAAGTGGCCTCAGTGAGCCAAGGGCCATCAACCCTCTTCGCCTAAAGCTCAGGCCAGATCATGCCTATGCTTGAAGACCCCAGGGGCAAGGGCTCTCCTCTTGACCTTGGATATCCATCCAGGTGAGGTTCTGGTGGGGCAACCAGGAGGCCCAGGAGCCCAGCCAGGCAGCGTCCCCTGCTGCTCTTTTCTGCTTTTTGCAGGATCCCCTCTCCCATTTGCACAGGGTCTTCACAAATTGTGTTCGGGAGAAACTTCCTTGCAGGAAATAGTTTCTTCTGGACCTAGCACCAACACTCCTACGGGCCATGCAGCGAAGGGCTAGCACCCTCCCCGCCCTGACCCCAGACCAGCTAGGAGGCTTCCTTGGCCCCCTAGCAACAGAGATTAGGGCCCAATTCTGGTACTTCTCTGCCTCCCCTACTGGCATGCCTCCAACCACAAAGGTTCCAGAAATGAAGGCCCCATTGTGGGGCGAGGAGTCATGCTTATACCCCTTATCACCTTCTCAGCTTGTTCATCACCAGGAGCCCTTCTGGGTGGGGGACACACTTCCCAAACCCTAACTGTCTCAGACCATCCCTGTCTTTCGGGGAGCACTGCCAGACCGGAGGGCAGAAAGCCGTGGTCAGCTATCTCACTCAGGCCTCTCCACCCCAATGTCCTGGGCCAGCACCTGGAGGTGCAGGGACCTCTGCCTCCTGCCCCACCATCGAAGACAGCCCAGAACGCTCTCCTATTCCCCCAAAAGCAAAGGTGACCCTGCTGGCCCCACACTGCGGGCACTGGCCAGGAGCGACTGGCAGCAGGCAACCGGAGGGCTGAGCACTTCCCTCTGGTCTGGCTGCGTGGGTGGTATGTGGGCAGGAAGGGCTGCTGGGGAACGTCCCCCCACCACAGGCAGCAGCAGCTCGGACCCAGGGCCCTTGTCCTCCCCAGGCTCAATTCCTCAGGACACACCAAGGAGCAGAAGGTAGCCAGGGTCAAGCCCCAGGGCACTTCCTGGCCTCTGGGGAGGATACTTGGAAAAGAGGGTGTGGACCAGGCCCAGCAGATGACACGATTCATTTATTCATTCAAAGCCGGTTCCCAGCGCCTTTCACGCCAGCCCCGCAGGACTGGATGAGGGTGTCCTGCCCACCCATTCCTGGGCCTCCACCCTCCCAGCAGGAACCTCACTGAGCCACAGCCGAATGGTAGAAAAGCAAACTGGCCAAGTGATTTATTTGCAATGGGCACAGTGATGCAAAAACAAGATATTAAGACTATAAAATATGTGACTACAAAGAACCAGCGAAATAAATACATAGATATTAGATAGTCCAATAACTTAAGGCGCCCGTGCAACGGAGCAAGGATCCGCGAGCACGGGAAGTTCTGCTGCTGCGGGGCTGGAGAGCGCCGGCCACGTCCTAGCCTCGGTCCGACTCGTCCAGCGTACTGCCCTGTGGGGAAAGGACTGGGTCAGGGAGCTGTGCCAGGGCCGGTCGGGGTCCAGCCTGAGGGGCCCCGAGACCCTGACGCGAGGGGGCCAGCGCGATTGCGGGGCGCCGGGTCCCCCAAGGAGATGCAGCTCCCCCGCCCCCCGACCCCCGACCCCCGCCATCTGACGTTGAAGTGGTTTTTCCCAAAGGCCCCCGTCCGGGCTGTTAGGGCGCGGGGCTCGCCGGGGCGCGGGCAGGCACTCACAGCGGCGGGCTCATGGCGTGCGGGGCTTGGGCTGCGGGGATGGCCCGGAGGGCTCGGAGGCTGCGGCGGCCACGGCGGCCTCGGCGGCCTCGGCGGGTGCGGCGAGCGCGGCGGGTGCGGTGCGTTCCTGGCGGCTGCGAAAGTCCTGCAGGGCGCGGCGGTTCTGGAAATCGATGAGCGCCAGCGCGATGGCCGCGTTCCAGCAGCTCTCGCCCGCGCAGCGGAAGTCGATCTCCTTGTGGTCGGTGGTGACGATGGTGAAGTACACGTACTTGCCGGTGCGCTCCACGCAGTCCACCTTGAGGATGGAGTGGAAGCGCAGCTCCTTGGGGCGCGCGCGGGGGCTGGCGGGGAACAGGCTCAGGCGGTCGGAGGTGAGCACGCCGCGCTTCTTCTTCCATAGCTGGAAGAGGCTGTCGCTGCGCTTCTCCAGCTCGCCCTCGCGTAGCACCTCGTCGGGGGACTTCATGTTGTGCTGGGCGTGGGACTGGGAGCGGCAATGCGAGAGGCAACTTGGGCGGTGACGGCGCCGGATCTGCTCCGCGTGGCCCCGGCGCGGCCTTTATAGCTGCCCCTCCCCGCCCCCACCCCGCCCCGGCCCTCGGGCCACCCCGCCCGCCCGCGCCCCGCGCGCCCCGGGCCATACCCTCCCCAAACCCAGCCGTCCGGACCCGCACGTCCGCCCTCTGGTCGGTCCCCGGCCGTCCCCTCCCATCTCAGAAGCCCGCGCTCCTGTTGCCCCCAATGCCCCAGCTGTCCAGCTCCGTGGGGTGACTCGAGGTCCCGCCCCACCCGGGCGCTCGCCCGCACCGTCTCTCAGGCCGGCCCCGCGGAAGAATGCGCTGCAACCAGCCCTGCCCGCGGTGACTCACGCCAGGGAGCCCCGGGAAGCACCCCCGGGCCCGGGGCCGGCCCACCGTGGGGAGACAGCGGGGACCAGACCTTCACCCTCCAGGCGCCCCAAGTCAAGCCCTTCCGCTCTCCGGCTCCCGGGGCAGAAGGAGGGTCGAGGCCGGCTTACTTACTCCTGAGCGCTGGCCGTTTCGTCCTCTTCGGGGGCCCTTCCCAGGGGGGAACAGTCACCTTTGCTGGATTAGGGAACACGTGGAAAGGGCTAGAACAGCAACCCATAGAGCTCAGTAAATGGGAGGGGAAGAGGAAGCCCGCTCTCC